CCTAACCTAACCTAACCTAACCTAACCTAACCTAACCTAACCTAACCTAACCTAACCTAACGGCCCAAATTCGTGAAATTGGCGATTGTAATGAATCAGAACCAAGAGTGACAATAGCGTAAAGATCATTTGGAACATCGCCATTCATGAAATTTTGGTAGCCGTTGAAGCTATAAGATATGTTAGCTCACATTCAAAGTAAAAAGCAATTTTCAACTCACGCTTGAGCAGACTCTTCAAGTGTACGACCGTACATGCCATATCTGAACGTAACGGTATTTGCTGGAGCTGGGGTTGCCTGGTAGGTGTATTGTGTAATCTTCCGTTGGACTGAGTGAATTGGTCATTGGTAAAGCGTTCAAAGCACCTGGCCACATTTTTTATCACTGAAGCCATTAGTTGCTTCGCTTCCAAACGAACTGTATGTGTCCCCCACATTCGCCTTCGGTGGCGAGCTTAAACCGTTCGAACTTGTCACATGGGATGCGTAGGTAATTTGAGCCAATGTCAATAGGGCGATTACTAAAATTCCCGAGTAAATGTCTTGCAACTTCAAGACTAGCATTTCTCAATATATTGATAATAGGATAGTTTGATGTGGTCAAAATGTCGAAGTGTAAATCAGCTCTTAAGGTATGGCGTTGATCTACACAATGTATGTGACTCAAATTTATTTTTAGTAGGTACTGTTCAGGGGTAATTCTCCTAAAGCGTAGCAGCTGGCTATCTGAATTGTATGACACTTTGATGAGATGATTGGTCTTCACCAAGAATAAAAACTAAGAAAGGTCAGTTATATAATGCTTCGCTGTCCGCATGTTCCTGGGGACATTGTGCTGATTGGAAACTTCCCACTGGGTCACTAAAAATATTGTAAAGATGCAGATAACTTAACAATCATTATAACTTCAAATCGACACATAAGTCTCAATTGGAGATGATGAATGGGATTTTTCAGTTATAAAACTCTGCAGACGCTTTTAATGTATATATCCTCCATACGTATTCATTCGGGTGTTCCTATTTATTTCTAAGGTATTCCGACTTTAATTCGTAGCTCCAATAGAATTAAGTATTAGAACGGTGCATCCGAGGTATAAAAACTAAGACACTATGTTCTATTATTTTACAGCTACATTTGGATGAAGGAGTATACTCTTTTATATTTAATTTTTTTAAACTCATAATATACCCGGAAAGAATATATATTAGAGATACCAGTGATTTACACAATCGTAAGGTTATACATGAGCTCTAGATGCTACAACAATAGGTATGAGACTGGTCAGCACTGAGAGAAATACCAGTCCCAGTGCTCCGTTTGTTAAAGTTTTCCTACCAGCTCCGCTTGATTCGGGCCTTAGCAAGATGTCGGCACTAATGCGTCCCACGCATGGCTCGACTACAACACGCTGGCCATCGTCATTTTGTACCATAACGTGTCCTCCATAGTCTACTCCAGGACATCCTAATTCACAGTTTAGGGAGCTTTCGCTGTTAGTTATGTTGATATGTGTGCCGTTAAAATTACCAGTATCATGCTGTATAGAAGGTAGATAACAACCAATGAATTCTTTCGGGAATTATTTTCAAAGTTTCCTACTCTATCAACATAATACGCCATATTACTTGACTATAGTACGAAGTCGAGGATGATTTGTATGATTTGTTCCGACACGCTTTTTATATGTAATTTTTGAAGAATAATTGGAAAAAAGCAAAATTTATGAAATGGTGACAAAATCACATTATACTGTTGAAGAGACAAAAAATTAAAACAGCACTTATCTGTACTTCCTTAGCTTGTGGAGTTTGGGTTAGTTGTCCGCAATTTCTAGGGTAGTTAGAATCAGGCATGATAGTTACAATAATAAATTCGAGTTATTATACAATATTGTACTACACTGTGTCGTTTTTTTACTTTTTAATGTACGTTTCGTGTACAACTTTTGCTTAGTACAAGAAGTTCCTTATTGGACAATGTTTTCTTAGCACATCTTCCGGAGGACAAAGTGGGTTCTGGTAACAGTTGGTACCACAATTTCTACAACCCTGTTAAAAGACATTAAACAAATGTAATTTATTTGCTGGATTTCAAAAAATGTTCGTTTTCTACAAATGCATCATCTTGGTACTTTGGTAACTAAACTGATCTTTAACTCATGCGTGGAAACATTCAATTTATAGGAGTTTTCTCCTGGAATTTCCGACCACTTGTTCATTTTATATTTGTCATTAGATGTAAAACACGAATGAAAGGAGTAATTGACATGTGGCAATTGCGTTAATACAACTATTGGTTCGGCTCAGATGCCTTCATGATAGCTACAGAGTTGTATTTTAGAATTAGGGTGCTGTCTTACGTTTGCAGGTCTATTTTATATCAAACCAGCAGTACTCGAAACCTTGCTATTATCAACAGACCATCAAAAGTGAATACCTGCACTATCAAGAGCACGCAAATATATCAATCACGTTCGTACTTTCTTTGACTTGCATATGATGGAGGATTCGAACAATATTCACTGGTGAACGAAGATATGACTTGAAGATGGTCTTTGAGTTGCTTCTCTCAACTCGAAATTCCAACTATTATGACAATCAACGTGTGTAACATTTCTAGAAGAACGAGAGAAAGAGAAACATTATCATACATTGACGTTGAGCATTATCTTAACTACATCCAAGCTTTCATAGCCAAATCAGGACTCATTAAAGTTAATTATATGAGATATAATGTTTATTGGTACGTGAACGATATTAGACCAAATTGGCGATCCTAATCTCTATGATGAAAGGAACTTGTTACCAGAATTTGTGAGCAAATTTGGTTACTGAACTATTTCAGTTGGAACTCGTTTTGATGAGATTTGGTGAGTCATGATAGCTTCATACCATCAATAACTTACTCAACTTTTGGCTTATAATTTATTCTCTATTAAAGCATCAGTTTCATATTATTCCCGCAAGTATTACTGAACATGACATATTAGATACCGATAAATATTTTGTCAGATATAGATCTTGCGGACAGTACACGTATACTTTGAGGTTGATAACTGAATCATCATCTTTTAATATACAGTGGTACTATTTATGAATGTGGAACTATCACGGCAATTTTAATGATGTCGTCTGCCAGTATTTACCTTGTAACAGCTAACACATATATCTTTATATAGCACGCCACATCCTTTAACACCCTCCATCAAGCCCACAAGAAGGTCCTCAAGTATCGTGATCATGTTCCAGTTACGTTTGTGCCAATTGTGTTTGGTGCGGGAGGTGCTATGAGTACTCTCACCACGGAACACTTCAAGCAATGGCGCAGGATTACTCCCAACTGGGACCACCTACAGAGGCTTATTTCGTTTGCGCTCGTAAGAAAGAGAGTGACAAACTTCCACTTGATTTAGGCAGTATTCTAAGATGTCTTGATTTTGAAATTTTCACTTTTTTAGTAACGATCTTTTGATAGTATTTAGTATTTCTTTGTAGAAACGTATTCATGCCGCTGTTTTACCTAACCTGAATTTTACTTGCCCCACCAAGGTACAGGTTTAGGAATCGAACCTATACAAGAGTCTTTAAGACTGAGAATATGAATGTTCTTATCTTTATTTTTGCTTTTTTTGTTCTACGTTTTGGTTTTTTTTAGAAAAAAATCATTTAATGTTATCTTACGTTACCTTATATTTATTAAGGACTGGGTATACGATCATGCATTACCGCGCCTTATCAAAACCCATCGGCACCACAATTACCAGCATAACAGGCATCCTGTCCATAGTATGATTCTCCATCTCTAGCTAACTGAACTGCTCCTGTACTAATCCATTGACCATTGTCCTGGAGGCATAAACAGGCATCTGACCATTGATTAGCATCTGCGTCTGTCATGACTCTATTGGCAAAAGGTATACCGCCATTGTCTTCGCCTGCTTCAGCACCTATGTTGTAGTCGGTCCTTTCCCATTGTTGTTCGTCCCCGTAGAAATTCTCGCCGTACATGACTTGCGCTGGGTATTCCCCTTCAGCTCTCTCGTTACAGGCATATAGCTTATCGTTACTGTATTCGACTTCCTCAATCTCATCAATACAGGGTTGTTCACCTTCATGAGATAGTCTCTTTTGTAACTTATCCTTTTGGTGGAGGGAGACGGAATGAGTCCTCAACACAATATTACTACCCGAAGTTTCCCACCACGCCTTTAAGTAAGGATGCTCAAGCCGCAGGTCTTTGGATATAGCTATAGTAGCTGGCTTATCTTTAGAAGCACCTATCATAGCGGACAATGTTACAACCGAATATTTATCTTTAGGATCATGGAATAGTATTCCTTTAGCCGAGTTGAATACTTTGATTGTGTCGTTAGCTAGTTTTTGTTCAAACTGTCCGAAATATGAATTATCACGTGCTGTCCTTCCCCCAGTGAACATTGTGGCCATTTCATGCGCAGAGAAGAAGTTTTCGCCTGGTGGTGTCTTGCCTATGAAGTCAAGGTAAGCCTGCTGTATTGTATTCCGTGACAACCAAGCGTTCCAAAAAGCTCCTAAGAAAGATAATGTGCTACACGCGTAGCTTACCGCTTTTGGTTCAGGTACTTTCCGAAGAGCCTCCAAAGCCCATCCTGTAACACTACATGCCATCCCAGCTATAGCGAGTCCCTTTGAGTATGGGTTGGGAGATAGAATGGCTGTTGAACCGGCCCAGACGAAGTCCACCACTCTACCTCTATCCACTAGTGCCTTAGATCCATCCCACTCTGTCCTTGTCCTCTGGTAGGAATTACGTAGGAATGCTTTTTCTTTTCTAACTAGAAATTTGTTGGTACTTGGATTTTTGCTGTCTCTGTTGGTTTCCAATCTGACCATTTCAGGAAATTCTAAAGGGTGAGACCCTCTTTTTACTGAAGTGTCAATGGTTGTTGTGTCAAAGAACTGCGCCGAAAGCGTTATATCATTAAATGTTGATCTGCTAGTTTTGTTCACGTTTTGCGAAGGTTTCCCAACAACGTACGCTGAGGACAACGAAAATAACAGCAGAGAAGATAATGTCCACCATAAGAATATATTGAAGTATTTGATGATCATTGTATACGAAACACAAATCAATTGCCTTAAAGAAGCTAGATGCAGCTAATGGGAGGATAAAATACGGTTCAGCTAGTTTGGTTACCACTTTTAAAGTTTCAAATGTACTATAACGGAAGTACACTGTAGTATATAAAGAAGTTTTGACACTATTTCCGAACCCCTTAAAAGCACGTCCGCATCGCAAATTTTGACGACCCGACAACAACCTAAAAAAGTATGATGGAGGCTATATCCACTTCCAGGCTTGCACTCAGCTTATGGAGCATTAGGACCTGAAATAATTTAGCCAATAATAGCTTTGTAACCAACATGTCCGCTTTTATATGAATCGGCAAACGTAGTGAATTTTTGATATATCAGGAACCGTTTGAGAAGAGAAATTCAGTAAATCACACCGAATCCTGAGAATTTGAAGGGGATAGGACATTAAATATTTATAGAGCTGTAGTAAGTGAGTATAGTGAAGCCCTACTGTATTATCGAGCGGTATAGCTTGAAAGTCTCTTCCTTCCATGAGGCTGTTCAGTTACCAATCACCGGCTTTTTTTTCGGTGCCGGACAATTACGCGGACAGCACCCTAGAAAGAGGTGGTCAGTGCTTACATTGGATATCCCTTAATGTTCCTGACCCAATTGCAATTACTGGTGCACCCTTTTTAGAACACTTTTATTGAATGATATATAAATGAAATGTACCAATAAAAGAAGAAATATAATAATCACTTTACTTTGATCCAGGTTGCTTTTTTTCTTGTTCCTTTTCTGCAGGGATCTTGAGTAAATAGTCATACTCTTGGTATGGCTTTTTGCATGGTTTGCCTGTAGGTACTATGAAGGTGGGATCTAAGTGGTTGGGGCGTTGTTCAAGAACATCAAAGCTAAGGAAGTTCCAAAATGTTATTGGAAGTGTGAGGAAATGTAGGGTAGATTCTATCCATGTGAATTCACGTTGACACATTAAATACCAGCGACATTGTATTTTGTTATTAGGATCATAAAAATATTTTGGAGACCAATCTATATGTTGATAGAGAATATTCTTAAGTGTTATAACCATTTGCGAAATTCTGACTTGACTGCAGGGTGATAGATAACCTGGTATAAATTAGATCATCTGACTAGAATTAGAAATTCAAAAAGGTTGAGGAAAACTTGTACAAAGCTCCTTGTTTAGATAGACATCTTCTAGTTTTTCTTGTCATTAAATATTGTAGCTAGCCAATTCGAGATATCTTGTTTACGTCATCACCCGAAAGTGAGAAGCTTTCAGTTGATCCTGCAGCATCTAGTCGAAAAATATAATCACATAATTTGTGACAAAAAATGAGTATCGTAACTGACAGTAATAAGTAAGATTTAGCTTGAGTTTACTCGCTTAGTTGAGAAGATGCACCCACTCACTATTGGTCTGCTGAGGCGCTTAAGAGAGTTCTAATGCATGGAATATATATAGCGTATCATATTAAATTTCACAACAAATAATAAAGTGTGTTTGATATTTACGGATCGACGTCTTTGTAGTAGGATGTTCCGCTGACCCAACTAAGAGTTTATTTAATTTGAGAAACACCAGATATGGATCATCTTCAGTATTTTAATACGTGAACTACCTTACCACCTCTGATCTCGCCTCTCTCCGTCTTGAGCAACCAAGGCAAGATATTCTCAAGACCTCTGCTAGTAACAAAGATAGGTGTTGGTCTTAATTTTATTGTTAGAAATGAGCTCATACAAAGTGCCCTTGTCGTAATTGAAGAACTTGACTGCTGTTTTGTACTCCTCATCCATCTCTGTTTGAGTGATTGGAGGATCGAACAAGTAGTTCGTGCATGAGTGATCTTCAGCAAAGACTGAGTGAATTAAAGTGAAGAGAATGCTCTGGCTAGCTGAAACTGGAGCGACAGTGCCTGTAACTTAGGAAGACGTAGGCAGAAATCAATTTAAATCTATATACTTTGGTAACAAATTAGATTCTTTCATCTTATCAAAACAAGCCTTGTAACCATCAGTATAAGTATCCACCGTCTTATTCCATCCAATTGATCTCGCAGAATCCATATCCCCGACAATTGGGTAAGGAAGCGCAGCTGCGATCTCAATACTAGACCTGAAACAAAGTGAGTAGAGTGTAATAATATAAGGAAACAACACCCACCAATTTGCATACTCAAAGGTTTTTGGATCCAGATCGTACTTTTTCACAAGTTTAGGAAAGTCATATTTATGTCTTTCCGCCCACTCCGTAACGCTATGGACAACTTTCAAGAATTCCCCTGCCTTGATTTCGACATCTTGAGCTGGTGGGGACGGAAGTTCCAAACCAAAATATGCTGCGATCTGCGGCCAAAGTGTGTTAAATTGATAAGGTTTCCCATCATTGATATTAAACGCCCTATTTTGTGCATGTTCAACAACATAAAGTTGAAACTCTGCATTATTTTTAGCCGTACTATTATCATAATCCATATCATAACAGATAAGCGGACCAGGATAGTGCAAGTTTTCACCGAACTCCTTACATCCAAAAGCATATAGTGCGGCAGTAACAGACACAGACATCCAATTGCCTTTCGAGTAGCCAGCAATAGCACATGGCCTGCTAACTGTCCAATTCCATCCATTCTCTTCTGCCACTATTGCCAATTTATCTTCTTGATGATAGTAGAAGAAGTTAGGGACGTGTCCTTGTCTCTTACTGTCTTCCTTGAATGGCAGTGGCGGAAATTTCTCGGCTGTGAAACCGGGCATGTAGTATTTATAGCCTGTTTGGAGATGGAATGATTTGAGATTTGGACATGCTTTGCTGACTGCTGAAATTGACTAGCATTTCTCGAATTAGATGTAATTTGTATAAGGAAAGGTTTACTGACTTTATCAAACAGCTTGTTGTTTACGCTGTTCTGCTCTTCTATGTCTTGTGAATCGATATAAGCATAGAAGAAGACGTGGGTGGAAGTATCAGCACCACCTTTGATCAAAATATCAGCAATCTGATTATCAGATGAATTGATGAGATCAATCGAGATATGATCAACACCTTGTCTATCGACAGGTCTTCTACTGATTCCTATTATTCTCTCATATGAAGAATCCTGAAGTAGAGCGTCAATCGCGGCTATTCCGCTAATGCCAGTAGCACCAAATACTAAAGCCGTTTTAGACATAATGAAGAAGAAAGAAAGAAGTGCGATATTTATAAGTACGCATCCAATCCCTAATCCGTGATGTTGTCATAACTTGACGATGACAACAAATACCCGACTGAAGAGGGCGGTAAGCGATGGTGATTCGGTGTGGGTACAATACTAAAATATGACAAATACAGTGCGATTCTTGTCGTCGTTCTAAAATCAAATGCGACGCAGCTGAGCGATATCCGCAACGATGTTCGAATTGCGCGGAGAGAAGGGAATGCACTTTCGTAGATGGAGCACCTAAGAAAAAACACACGTATGCTTACGTCCAGAGTCTAGAAGAGAGGGTGAGTTTGGGTGTTGATTGGTGCCGAATGGGCTAATTAGTCATCCAGATTACTCAGCTAGAGAACGATTTGAATACAAGCACGAACAAGAAGAGGAGAATGAGCTCTGAGCATATTCGTACTCACACTCGCGATAACGCATCAGATTCTGAATTATCGCAATTGGTAGAATCGATGTGGTTGGATGATGGTACAAATAGTAACCCAAAGCCTAGGTCCGAGAATCTCATAGATTTCGGCATGTCTTCCAACAAAGGCCTCTTCGCTTTAGTGGCTGGTTTCATCCATTCAGATAGAGCCAGACCAACCTCAAGTAGTGGGAAGGCTGAACAATTTGCTGAAGATGACTTGGTTTGGAAAGAACCATACAATAATGATGACTTCGGGAGTGCTGAATTGGTATATACCCTCGTTGAATCGTATTTCAAATATGTGAGTTTGAGTTTTATAAATTACATCACTTCACGAACCAAATCTAAATAAGGCTCAATACAGGTAAATCCAACGCTACCACTATTCCCAAGTAGACGACAGTTCATTGAGAACATTACAGCAAAAAAGCTGGACAGGGATTTCGGTAGTGTGTTAATATTAGTCTGTGCACTGGGATCCTTGTATAGAGATAATACACAAAACAACGACAACGACAGCAACACGCAACTATTTGACACATACCTTCAGAGATACATCTCCAAATGTCCTGATCCACACCTGCAGATCTCAATCTCAATCTACAACATCCAAGCCATAATCCTGGCAGTACTTGCTATGCAGAACACACAAAAATACTTCCGGAGCTGTTGGTCTCTGTGTGGATTGGGGGTGCTCTTGACCGAAAATACTAGATTGCGAAGGTTGCACACTGAAGAAAGTAAGCGCGCGTTATGGTGTTTGTACGTGCTTGATAAATCCTTCGCGGCAAGTTATGGAAGAAGAGCTTTAATGGCTCCATTGGAAATTGAATGTCCTACTACATGTGATGATGAGGGTATTAACATTGTTTCGCACTTCAACGCGATGATCAAACTTTATGGTATTGTTGGCGACGTTGTTGATATGTTTTATGCAGTAAATGGGTCTACAAATGTGGACGATTTAAACGAGAAGTTGGATAGCTGGCGAAATAATTACATTTCAACAACTCAATTACCTTCTCAATTTGAATGCTTGAAAGTGATTGGATATAACGTCGTTAAAATATTTATCAATAAGAAATCACTTACTTCTACGTCACATAATCTAGAAATTTGCGTAGAAGCTGCGAAAACCATACTGTCTACATTGCATTATATGCATTGTGAGAGTGAATTAGTAGTTACTTATACAGACGCATTATTGAATTGGAGTGTAAGTATGTAATTTTTTGGGAAACAGGAAGTTAATCATATTCACATGGTAGGTTATTTCTGCAACTGGTATCGTGATGTTAAAAGCCTGTCGTGTCTGCATAGATACGAGCAGCACAAGAGATATACAACCTCAACTACAGCATCTAGAAATTGGAATGAGAGTGCTCAGAGTGAAGAGCAGAAGTGATGGTGTAGTCAGGAAGGCTTTAGAGTTGTTTGAGCAGCTCATTGATGTTTTGCAACTGCATACTCGACATTCCACCCTCGATGCTTCTGTGACAGAATGGCTAGGTGAATTGGTGGGCAGCAGTGCAAGTATGAGTGCAACTATGGCTAGTTCTGCTAATTTAGACGCTGAGTGGATTGAATTTCTGAATGAAATTTTTCGTTGATAGAACCGTGTATCACAATTGAGTATTTATGTAATTTCTGTTTACATACGTTGCGCTCTTGACGTCCCATATTGAACTCTTTCAAGTAATTTTGCAACATTTCTCATTTGGGCAACCAAACTATACTTAAACACAATAACAATAATAATATACAATTATTTCAAACGTTTTCTTCAGCGCCTGACTCTTCCTGCAAAGCAGTTGCTATAGATGAGGTTAATTCAGGTTTCTTGACTGGGATCTGGGAAGCTATCAAAGATCCGCATGTGTCCTCTATCTGACTTGAATTGATCTCAACAGCCTTTGCCTCTGGTAGTACTTCTGCTAGAACTTCAATAACGACATCGATCATCTGCATCTTCGCTTCATCGTTGAGAGATTCGGCAAGCTCACTAAGGCCTTTAAGACCTGATTACACATCAGAATGGTTAGGTGAAGAGGTATACATTCAGCTTACCTTTCTCATGTATGAGTGCTCGAACTGCCGTGTTTTTTCCGATGGCCTTGAGACCAAGCACACTACCAAATCTTGTACCTATATCCGTGCTAGCAGACTCTCCAAGTACTTGGTCATCTCCGCTGAGGGCTTTAAAAAGAGTTTTTGCTACTCTGCCAGAGAGTGTTGGATAACTGTTGCTGTAGTCATTCAGTAGTCTAGCAATGAGTGAGGCGGATTTCTGGCGTAACCACAGTGCTTTCTGGTCGGGTGGTGCTGGATATGAAGAAGTGAGAAGAGTGGTAAGTAGCAATGGGAGTATTTGATGGAGGTAAGGTTCAATGAACAAAGTCTGATTGTCTATCAGTGAGTGCACAACACCAACCATGGCATCTATAATATCCAGATTCGATAAATTTGTTGAAACTTTCTCTCCTGCGAATCTGACGAGGTATGGAACCAAGCCACCTAGACCTGGATCACCGCGCAAACTGGCGAGAGCAGCCTCCCTAGCTTCTGGGACGTTAGTTGCTGGCGACAAAAGTGCTGAAGTTAGTCTGATATAGTATAATTGCAACTCGTGTGAGAGAAGATGCTTGACTGGTGGATGTATAGTAGTGGAAGCAGTACCACCTACACCAGCGCCATTGTTGTTGTTGTTGTTGAGAGCAGCTTGGGCTGGCGCGAGTTGATGCATTGGGCCATTGTCGGTCGGTGCAGGGTTTTGTGGTATGAGTGGCTGAACGCCTTCAATTGCGAGCCAATGGGAAGTGTAGGAAGGACCCTTTGATAACCTAGGGAGTGGCTCTCTGAGTGCCTTCTCGAAGTCGATTTCCTTGTCCTCTAATGCAAATACTGGACCTGCTGGTGTAGCTACCCTCCTGTAAGTTGGTATAGAAGTTGCAGGGTGTGGAGAATAGAGAGGTTCGATGTTGAGCACTTTAAGAGCGTTTTCTATATCGCATGGAAGAAGGGCTGTGCGTTTTGAGTGCTTCATAAACTTTGATGCTTCCTGCAAGTCTTGAGTCGGTTAATAGAGATACGGATAGCAAAACAAACCTCAATGAGAAGAGTGATACGATATTCAACATCACCGGCTAAACCGGTGGCTACTGTGTCAGTTAAGCCCGTTATACCGACACTCTCAGCGACGTCCTACTAAAATGAGAGATAGACACTATAAATAGAAAGAACGCACTCTAATAACCTCAGTTGGGTAAATACCCGCTTGTATCTCTGGTCTCGGTTTGTCCTCCATAGTCGATGATGATAGAAGCGACTCAACGATCATCTCAACGTCGATGACAAAATGAAATCAGAGATGGATGGAAATTTAAAAATCAGTCTAGCTTGTTTGCGCTGTAGAGCAAAAAAGAGTAAATGTACTTCCTCAGATAATAATACAGACGGTCGCTGCGACGCTTGCTCCAAAGCTAGTTTACATTGTGAATGGCCATCTGGTGAGTGTATAACAGCCATATACTCACCTACTAACACTCCCAAAGGTAGACGTAGAAAACGCACCCGTAAGGAAATGGAGGCTGCCCGCCAGAAAGACTCAGACCAGACAACTTCACCCCTGAAGGATCTCAATCTCATGCAGGCAGTTACCTCTCAAGTAGCTTACATAGACGACGGTGGCGGTGGTGACGAAATAAAGGTTTACTATGTAAGTGGGGATATCAGGAACATCCTTTTTATTAACACATTTTAGTATAGAATGGTCCGTCTGAATAATCAATGAGCATAATCTAACCTTAAATAGTCTGGTTCTACTGCATTACATCCTGGTCTCAACCGAATCTGTATAAGACTCAAACAAAAGCCGATCAAACAACAAATGGTGCCTCAAAATGTGCTCCTTAACGGCTTACCTAACATTCCCAACACATCAAGTAACGCATTCTTTGATCCAATATCAAAATTGCCAACACCTCCAACTTATGGACCTTTACTCGACATATTCTTTCGTGACTTGGTCCAATTTTTCCCTTTTCTTGAAAGAGGCAGCGTTGAAACCAGATTACAGAACGGCACAATGTCTGCATTTCTCATAAATGCAATATGCGCTATAGCCGTCAAATTTGCGCTCCCCGAAGGTATGACACCAGTCCAAGCGAGTATGCCATTCATGCAACAAGCAAACTCACTTTTGATTGAACTCTTGAGACTTCCTACAACGGACACTGTATCTGGTCTTCTGCTTTTGAGCTATTGTGAATTCGGTCAGAATTCTGAAAGCGGCCTTTGGCAGTTCTCTGGCATGGCTATCCGTATGGCCTTTGATTTAGGTTTACAGAATAGTACCGATGACTCCCTCTTTGAGTCTCCTGAAGAAGCACGCCGTGCTAGACTTCTTTTCTGGACACTTTTCGTCATGGTAGGTTTCTCGCAATGATTGAGACATTCTAACAAACTCATTAGGACAGGGTCCTGGCGTTCGGTACTGGCAGACCTTCCTCAATGTCAGAAGACGTTGAAATATCCCTACCTGAGCCACCTCATCAACCACCTTTACCTGCTTTTATTCCATTTGCACCCCCAAACCATATACCTTGGTGCTTCCCTGCTGCTGTTCGAATTATTATATTAGTCGGACGAATTAGCGATTCTCTAAACCGCAGAGATGCATTAAGGCGGCGTAATTCTAATGATACTCAAGACGTTGAAGTCCAAAACAATGAGCGTAGACAGCTACTCGAAAATCAACTCAAAGAATTCTATGCCGACCTACCACAAGAGCTCAACTGGTCAGTTGAAAATCTTAAAATGCACGCTGCTAATGGCCAAGGTGGTCTGTATCTTTTTATTCATGTCTGGTGTAAGTCTGACTTGATAGAAGTATTTATATTAATGCTTCTCAGATAACGCAGTCCTTGCATTCGTGCATCAACATCAAACACCCGGAACCGTTGTCACAAAAGACACATTTAAAATCTCACTCAGTTCAGCACAGATGATATCAGAATATCTTGTCTTTGCAGACCTCTTTACCAATCAGAGTTACTTAGCCTCTCCATTTATCTCACAACCGCTTTTTATTGCTGCATGTGCATTTATTCATGACGCAAGAGTAAATCACAATGTATCCTTAGGACCAATAAAGAAGTCGGCAGAGACAAATACACCTCTATCTGTTCCGGACCTCCAGAATGACAAGGGTGCGTATTTTTTTATGTAAAAGCTATCTACTTACTAATATACAGGAGTTGGTCTTCTTGGTACAATCTCAGCTCAGAACTTCTTGATAATTTACAAAGCATTGCGGAGAATGACCTGGCCGTGGCAAGGTATAGGCTATATTGTTAACTTATTAGAACAAAGAGCATCAGTTAGTGGTTTAGATCAAGTTGACTTTTCAGCGACTTCCGACGCCATTCAATCCTTTATTTCCTTACCAGATAGTGGTATCGTACAGAAGCATTCAAAGACACCACCACAAAACCCTTCACCACCAACCACGACGACAGCAACCCAACCGACCGCTACATCCACAATTGCACCAGTGATGGAATATGAAACGACAGTTGCTACTAATATTACGAACTCCAATAACACCGATAGTCTCGATACCAACTCATCACCGATAAACCTTCAAAATATTTCAATGGATGAACTTCTCTCTAACCATTTTATTCAGGAAATCACCGCTTCACCAACCTCATTCGATTTTGGAAACTTTTTCAATAATGGGACGACTGAGAATAACACACTAAACAATGTAAACGATGTCATCTAAAGAGACATACTTGATTGTACAATTTGTATTCTAGATTCACAATCTAATTCCTAATTTTAATACTTGGTTTTGTATCATCATGCTTTGCTGAATCGCGTGTTAATCGTGTAGAATATCAAAGACGCTTTAATGTAAAATGATAATATTTATAAAACATTAACAACTTCTTTGCTTTGTAGATTTAGCCTAATTCCTTAATGGATAACCACCATGGTGATATAAAGAAGCTACCACAAAGAATCGAGATATTGACGAGCAAAGGAGAATTGAGTGATGTGAGAGGTACAATAAAGTACAGCGGTTTAGTAGACGGTGCAGAAGGGGATTGGTTCGGTATAGAATGGGATGATATCAGTCGAGGTAAACACAGCGGCGAGAAAGAAGGAAAGCAATATTTTGAAACGATGTGAGAAACGTTCAGTCACATAGTTGTTTACCAATTAAACGTCTTTAGATTTCCAAACTCTGCTACATTTGTCAGGCCATCGAAGAAGATATACACAGGACAATCATTTCTCAAAGCATTCAGGAGTAGATATGGTTATAGTGACAGTGCCTTAGAATTTGCACCCAATATTGATCGTATAACCAAGAAACTGAGTCAAACTGACCAACTGAAGATCGCTAGTGTTGACCACATGGGTGTGTACGGTGTAGATGACCTGGAGAAAGAGAACACAAAGCAGGAAGCTAAAAGTAGGCAGTCTAGTGTAATCCTTTACGGTTTGCTAATTGCAAATTAGGTATACGACAACTCTCCGTTGCACATTCGCTGATATCGGATATGGAGGACGTCGATAAACTTGTTGCATGCTTGCCAAACCTTCAAGATCTAGATTTGAGGTAATCTGCTTTTTATGAGTCGATACGGAGGTCTCACAGCGTTACAGCTCAAATAGGATTCGTATTACGAATGATGACTACTCACACATATGTCAATTAAAGTCAATGAAGCTTAACAATACGCTTATAAAGTACCAGCAGGTGAGAATTCTCGAATAAATGGAATATACCCGCTAAAAGTCTCAAGATAACTCAAATGCACCACTCATTATCTTCTTTAGAAGAACTTGAGCTAGCATACAATAATATCACATCATTGCCAGCTTCCTATACTCTTGGTAACCTTCAAATCTTAAGCTTAGCTCACAATAACATCAACGAGTGGAATGAGATCGAGGGTATACTCATAAATTTACCAAAGTGAGTACCAAAAACGTGGTACAAGTACTTGGCTAAATGCTATGCTCTTAGTTTACAAACTCTCAAACTAAATCATAATAAAATTGGTAGAATATCATATCCCACCTCAAATACAGCGAATAGCCGTCTTAAAACACTTATACTTTCACACAATGGCATTGATAATTGGAAGTCGATTGATGCTTTATCATTAAGGTTCACTCAGTTAGAATCACTATCTTTAACTGATTGCCCTCTTATGAGCACTCGTGAGTGGTGTAACATGAACTTTAAAGATTCTAACAACTTTCAATTAGAATGTGATGTTGGAATATTGAGGCAAAGTGTTATTGCGAGGTTTGAAAAGCTAGAAACACTCAATTTGAGCGAAGTTGGTTTATTTTTCATTATGCAATTCATCTAACAGTTTAAGGTCTCCATAGACGAGAGGAAAGACGCAGAGTATTTCTACATACGGAATCCCCCAACTGAGGAAGATCCAAAACGTGCGAGGTATCATTCTTTATGCCAGAGTAAGTTAATATCGACTTAATTCGACATTATCTGAGTATCATAGAATATGACTATCAGCCGAGTGTTCAACCTGCCAAGAAGCTAACGCATCTTCAACTAAAGAAGCTGAGTACGTAATTTAGTATATATCCAATTACGCTCTAACGCCATTGAAGGTATTGATATTCGCATGGATAGCAAGACATACCCACTCACGACAATATCTTCAATCACAATCAAGAAGCTGCGACTTATTATAAAAAGATTGTTTGATTTGCCGAGCTCCGATTTTAAACTTATTGCGTCAATGATACCACCGCCGAATATGTTCGGAGTAGTTGACGAAGAGAGAACAGAAGTAGTCTTGGACGACGATTACAAAGATCTACGATGGTTTAGCGTTGAAAATGGCGATCATATTGTTGTACACTCCGATAAATAGATTTATCTAATCTTTGATCAGTAACTACGAAGACATACGTATGTCGACTAATTCACCACCGCCTTTCTTTAATGCATTGTTTGTGAGTAACCTTGTTGTATAAAACGCGTTCAAGTCTGATATTTTCTTACAGGCTGGTGCACTCTCTGGTGTGACGGTAGATCTGTTCTTCTTCCCTGTGGACACACTCAAGACGAGGTTGCAATCAACTCAAGGGTTTTTGCAAGCAGGAGGCTTCAAAAATATATACAAAGGAGTTGGTAGTGTAGCCTTCGGTGGTGCACCTGGAGGTAAGTCCTAGAATCGAGATTCTGGTATGATGCTGAAATGGCCAGCTGCCGCATTCTTCACGACATATGAAGGACTAAAGAAGGCTATTCCACAGATTTCGAGCTTGTCTACTATCCCAGACGCTGCAGTTCACATGTTGGCTGGTTCAGGTGGTGAAACTGCTGCATGTTTGATACGAGTTCCAACCGAAGTAGTAAAATCTAGACAGCAAACAATGGCATACGGCAGTGTTAGCAGTCTAAAGGCAGCTCAATTACTACTCTCACAGGAGGGCTTAAACGGATTTTATAGAGGATTTGGTATCACAGTTTTTAGAGAGATACCGTTCACGAGCATACAATTTCCACTATATGAATACCTCAAATCACGGGTTGCAAAGTATAGAAATAGAGATCACGCTAGACCGTACGAGGGTGCACTCTGTGGTACGATCGCAGGTGCGGTAGCAGCAGCAACGACGACACCACTGGATGTAATAAAAACAAGGACGATGTTATCGAAGGAGGTGAGTAGCTCTTCATTGATAGAAGACCGTCTAATAATAGTCTCAGCGTATCAGCTTTACCGAAGTTATCCGCAAGGTATACCAACAAGGGGGATATAAAGCCTTCTTTTCCGGAGTAGTACCACGCGTAACCTGGATTTCAGCAGGTGGTGCAGTTTTCTTAGGTGTATATGAAGTTGGTTTAGATGTAATCAGAAATAAGATGTAGTGTACAATTAGTGATGCTTCTTCTCTGGCTGAGGTGCTTCAAGTACTTTCTCCGCCAAAACGTATGCTGTGAATGCAACTACGGCTGTACCAAAACCTGGTAAGAGCTTCTTGTGGAACTTGCCGATACCAAAGAGTGGATTGCTTCGCCAGGCCTCTCTCCTAGCCCAAGGGTCGTTGTATTTTGGCCTAATAATTATTAATTACTATAAAAAAGAATATATTTCGTCTCACATTTTTTTGAATTTCGTTGTTGATTTTAAAGGAGCGTTTCTTCTTGCACGCCAACTCAGCTTGAATAAAGTTTGAGTCTGCAGCAGGCTAATTTGTGACTGTTATAGCTGGCTATGGAACACCTCCAAGACGTTGTCCAGCCCAAGTCTGACCACTCAGCAAAAGACTGGGCTTTCCAACAAGACAATCAGCTCAGAATGGCCGCTGCACTCAATCATGGCACATACGGTGATAGCTCTGGCGTACGTTTTCTTTTCCTTCACTTTTTTCCTTTGGCTGACAATCTACAGATTATGACAAGGCATAGAGCTGCGATGGCCGCGAGAAATTTACAAGTGAGTAGTTTACCACCTAAATACCTCTAATAACACTTTATAGTCTCCAAACTCTCTCTCAAATGGCCTCGCAAGTGCTCCGCTTCCAAGCAGCATCAACTCACCCTTGAGTTCAATGTATACGCTTCAAACACCTCTACCAATTGGTAGACTACCCCTCACACCAACTACGGCTTCTAGCTCCTGTGTCACTCGTTCAACTTCACCTACAAACAGCGTCGCTTCAACTTCTCAAACTTCGTTTTCATTCCAGCAACAACAGAATAACTCAGCTGCAGCTACACCGTCACCGAAAGACTCGCCTTCTTCAAATTGGATATCAAATCAAATTCCAGGCATACACTCTCTCATGGCACCGTCCCCGAGTGGTTCGTCAACCACCTCAAACAGCAGCTCAATTGGTCCACGTCGTAAAACAAAGCTCATTAATGAAACTCGTCGTGCTATTTGTGTTTTTGCGGAAGAAAATCCCAGTGCACGTCAAGAAGACATAGCTAGCCGTTACCAAATTGAACGTAGTACAGTCTCAAAGATACTCAAGCAAAAAGACAAATGGAAGTCTATTATTCCAGGTGGTGCATCCTCACGTGTTGCAAAACACAGGTGAGTTTTCTTCCTTTAAAAGCATTTTTTCTAACAATGACAGACCATCAAAATTTCCGGACATCGAATCACGTTTATCTGCATGGGCACAAGAATGTGCATTAAGTAATCATTATTTGACGGATCATGCTATTCGTGAGAAAGCTAAAACCGTCGCTCGTTCACTGGGATACCCGGAAGAAAAATTCAAAGCTTCATCAGGTTGGGTTGAAAAGTTCAAAGAACGTAATAACATAAAAAAGGGGAAGGTAAATGGTGTTCTTCAATCATCTGGAGCTACACCAGTTGGTAGTTTGACTCCATCTGAATCTGATAGTACAACGGACTATATTGGTCAAGTTAATCCATTAGCTACACCAAATCATTCATTCACGTATACGCAACAACATCAACAGCAATCACGTCAAATACCGTCAGTAGGCCCTAGACATGAACCACCTTTCGTTCAAGCTCATCAAGATTATGGCCTTTCAGATCATCATGCTAATAATCATTTATTGGCACTAGCTTCTGCAGCTGTTGCTGTTGATGACCTCAATCACGAGAAATACACAGTTGAGCAAGAGCGACTTGGTCATGAAATGGCATGGATTATGGAGCTGAAGAGGAAACTGGAGCAACAGCAACCAATCATTGAATTAATCAAATCTGATGCTATTCAAATTACTCGCTTCTATGAGCAAGGTAGCTTAACTGAAACAGCATTTAAGCAAGCTGTTGAGATGTTATGCCCATTTGTTGGTATTGACTTGACTTATGGAATATATGATATCAGAACTTACTTAATTGATCGCATGAATTTAATTCTAGCAAGGTTGGGCTAATGAGGTAGTGGTATAAGTGAAAATTTTTAATAGAACAAGCAACAAATTGACATCAAGAAATTGTATAAAACAAATTTGCATTTAATTAATCATGATAAATTATAAAATTTTGAACATTACTGCCTTCTGTTACTTTACGTCATATTAGTAGATGAGAAATAAAACGCGTAAATATGCAGAACAGCAAGCGAATTATCGAATGATGTCAGTTGTATTAGCGTACAAGACTTTTACAATTGACCATATGAAAGTCAATGAAGACATGTTGAGTACTCTACATCTATTCCGTCTAAATTGAAGTGTATGATACCTCCAGCAATATTATTTGTATTAACTAAGACCACGGCGTTGTCTCCACATTTTGATGCCCTTCTGTAAGGTAGGCTCATCTGTCCCACTCACACCGACAAGTTGGAATGTAACACCAAGGGTCTCGACTTCTTTATTTCTTGATTCATCATCGAAGAAAAGCATATCCTCGTATGCGAATCCAGATTTCTTTGCTAGTTTCTGAAAATGCTTAATTTTGCTGCCAGGATAGATCTCAGTGTAATCAAAGAGTGTTTTAGCGCTGATATTATCGCCACCATTCCTGTTCTTTAATTTAAGATGCTTGAGTGCATCGTAGGCATAATCCGGTGCAGCTGTTCTGCTTGCTGCTGCAATCTCTATACCTTCACTACGCAATCGTTGTAACATCTCTGGTACATCTCTATAAAACCCGAAAGGTTCACCTCTTCTTGGTATAACCTCGTTAAACTTTGAGGAAGGTTTGATAGGACCTTATGTACAGTAAGCTGATGCACTATAAGGTGGCAACATACCCACCAGAGACGTGTGTGTCTATCCATAAATCCCAAAGGGTATAGTCGAGATCAAAAACAATCAATTTAGGTAAATTAAAGGGTGCTTCCGACATTGCGTTTGATGATGATAGAGTGAATTGAAAGGTATTCATTTATCTAACAATTACTAGACGATCATAATGTCAAATAATCCTCTTAATGCGTTTGATGCTTTTAAAATTACATTTTCATCCTACTTTGTATTAAGTGCTGTTTATAAGAGTCGTAAATGTACCTCCTACCTTCAATGCTTGTTTTAACTCCGACAACCTGAGTGAGCGCTCTTTACAATATCCGCTATCTAGGAGACTCTGTCTCATCAATCCTGGTAGTAGGCCATCGCTTGCTGGAGTTGTATACCAATTATCATCATTCTGAAACTTATAGAAGATGTTCGCGATTGTAGTTTCTGTCATAAATCCTTGATTATTGTGCATCAACACATCAAATAATCCATCGTGGGTTGTCGAGTAAGTTATGTCTGTTAAATAATTGCTTATAAGAATAACTAATCAATTAAGACTACTTACTATTTCTAGACTTAGAATCGTTGTATATATCTCTATCAGTAGTTTTATAACGCAACAACTGTGAGTTAGTTTCTGTAGGTTCACTATCTATCACAACGTTGACAGCATCTAGTACGATTTTAGAGTCAACTAATAAATTAACATCTCCACCCACAATCAGGCATATTTGTAAGTCGTGTTGCTGCAGCATTTATAGACAAATCAACTAAATCTAGTTGTACAGATACCTGAGATATTAATGAGCATTATTTCCTGTAAAAGTTTAAACACAGACTCTATGTGGTGTTTCTGTCCCTTCTGTAGCATTGATAGCCCTAGTTACCTCATTTATTAGAGCTTCTTCCTTGAAATCAACGGAGTTGGATGAGCTTAAGGCGTCAATACCATCAATTAAACGTTGTACATGCATATCGTATAAGTATATACTATCTTTTATACTACCTTTAGGTGTGTATCTCAGTGTTGTCAATAATTTCGTCATGATGATACGAAGATAAGAGGTGTATATTAGGAAATATTTTAGTAATAAACTATCTTAGTAGGCCACGTATTAAATTTTACGTAGATATTGAAGTATTTCTATGATGAAATCTCGTTGATAGTGACTACCATCATATAAATCAATGAATGGAGGTAATAATACACGGGATATACAACAGAAACAGCCACAAAACCAACAAAATAAGACTCAATCACCCAGGCGTGCATTACCTAACAGTAAAAATGCAGTACTCGTGAACTCTTGTCAGGTGGGATTATCTGATTAGATAATAGTACTTAGTTAATTAATATCAGCGTGGTAATCCAATATTAAAAGAAGTCAGAAATGTTAGCTGGGAGTACACAGATATCGTACCGGATTACGTTGCTGGTTCAAGTACAGGTATACTATTCCTCAGGTGTGGAACTAAATTCATCGATATCCAATTCAAGCTAATAATACACAAGTTTGCGCTATCATAGATTACATCCGGAGTATATACATACAAGAGTTGAACGTCTTGGTGCAATGTACCAACTCCGTATATTACTTCTTATGTGCGATGTTGTAAGTCGAAGGAACTAACAAGGTCGTATTTAACTTCTTTAAGACAGATTCTGAAGCATCCATTAAAGAAATAACCAAGGTTTGCAGTATTTGTCTCATAATATCACACTAACAATAAGGTCAAGACTTGCTTGATTAATAACATAACAGTAGTAATAGCTTGGTCGTGCGTTATAGTTTGTAGAACCTTTTCTTAGCTAACATGTCAACCAAGTCCACAGCAAGCAGGACACTATTTGAGTCTTTACCTTCAGCTAGATAATAAGCCACCAGACAGTCTCAGAGAGAAGTCTTCAACAGATTATCACAGCATGGTGGCAAACGCTCTTACAACGGTAAAGGGAATAAACAAGACAGATGTATACCAATTATTGACGCGCTTTGGGGTATGTATGAAGTAGTGAAGCTTTGTTTGTTTCCCCTAATAAATCTTACAGAGCATAAAAAACATCGTTAAAGCATCTCCAGATGAGATATCGAAATGTCCTGGATTTGGTGACATTAAAGTTCGTCGTATGCAAGAAGCCTTCATTAGCTTATTCAAAATTGGGTTTAAGAATTCAAATGACAGCTCAACTGCTAGCAACGATCAATCACAACGTGATAAAAAAACTGGTTTATTGGGTACAGAATCTAATGATCTTTTATTACGTGAAAATTCTCCTTCCCATCAAGTCAATGTTCAACCACCTGAAGAAGAGATTGACTTATTAGATTCCGATGAAGATGCGCTCAACGAGGTTGTTGCCAATTTTGATAGCTTGAGAGAGCAAAATGATAATTCACAGAAGGGAAAAGAACAACAAAATTAAAGACCCCTTTCGAATCAAGAAAACGTGATAGATTTATTAGACAGCGATGAAGAAACATTGGAACAACAAAATAGAAAAGCACCTACAAACCAAGAAGATGTAATTGATTTACTGGATAGTGACGAAGAAGCATTAAATCAAGTAGCAGCCGACTTCAATGTTAGATAATTTATTCTTTTTACAAATGCGATCATAACAGTGTTAAATATGTGTTTCTAAAGTTGTACTGCTTTTCTGGCCATCTCAAGTGCGCCCTCGTAAGTATCATTACCACCGATAAAACCACTGGCATGACAGAAAATGGTACCTGGTACGCCGCTAACTTCTGCCAACTTCTCATCTCTTACTCCTCTCCATGGTTCAGGAAGTGGCTTACGAAGAGCAAAGGTGGTACTGTTTGGTGGGATAGCACGTACTCTCCAACCTCTGTTACTATCTGGTAAAAGTGCGTAAAGTGGTTCTTCATCCTTCTTTACTTCAAATTGAGGAAGATGTTCAAGCTCAAAGTAATGATCTATCCATGGGCAGAAAGTTTTGAAAACGAGGATTTTACCTGATTCATCAAACTCTTTACGCTTGCTAAGTGCTTCAACGACTAAGTCACGTGCAGGTAACCAAACTTTAGCGTATGAGTTTACGCTATCGAGGAATTCACTGCCAGCCAACTTTGATGCTTCTTCAAATCTCGTCATTTGTGATTGCTCTGTGAACTCTTCATTCCAATTGCTGTTAAGTCTACCAATGCGGCTGCTGAGATCTGTTTTGTTACGATATGCTGCCTCTGGAAGGTTTTCAACGGTTGGATAAAGACTAACACCATTATCGATAGCGTCTAACGCTTCAATGAATTCTTTGTAAACTTTCAACCAAATCTGAAGTGTACGATCCTCGTCTTCACTCCATCCAAGATGCTTACTGATAATTTGTTTACCGTAATGCTTATATATCAAACCAGCAGAACTAAGTTTTGTGTTGTGGTTATGACCAAATACTTCATTGAATCCTCTAAAATGATGATCGTAACGTAACTTTCCATGATCATAAACATCACCAACGTCTACGACGATATCCATTTGGTTGAGAACGTTGATATCTCTTGTTCTTGTAACAGCTGTGATATGATAGGATGAGAAGTGTAATTATATATATAATAATACTCACCCGATCCTGTGTATTCTGGTAATAACCTCAATAAGAATACAGCTAAAGCTTCATCTGCGTGGAATACACCATTGTGTGTACCAATTACCTATAGAATAGTTAGTTATTGTAGACTAAACATACAGTCCAGCCATACCTTGCTAGACTGTCCATCTAACTTCACCTTTTTGCTAACGTCTACCATTTTCCTAATATTCTGTACTTGACGGTATAAGTTCAACATGCGCAAACAACACAACTAAAGAGCAAACATAATTAAGTAATATATAAAACGTGGTTTAAGATTGGTTACAATTGATAAACATAGATAGATAGTGAAAGAAACTTTGAAATCCGTTACTCTAAGATATTGTACATTCTGCAGTATTTTTGGTACTTGCGTCTTGATTTATGAATGAAGCTGGTAGAACGTGACTATAAACTTTATTAAGATGCTTCTTTATTGAAATGTGTATGGAGGAAGATTGCTTTGGTACTGCCGTGTTGGTCATTGGTACGAACAAATGCTTGAGAAGGACAGGAAGTAAGCCCAAAATCGAAAGAAAGCCGAATTTAATTATCATTTCTGAGCTAAACATTCTATGACTGAGGCTTTCACCTTCGTCAACATATGCCAAACTGACGAGAACATCTCCGACTGCACATGCAACACCGTTCATAGGAATACTACCAAGGAACCTAACATTTTATTAGCTGATTCAATTAAGGAAAACTACTTCGAAACTCACAAACTAACGATGAATGGTATGTAGGAAATACCCACAACACCACCGGCTAGATTAAGCACTGCGTACGGTATGACAGGAATTAATCGAGCAATAAGTAGTCTTTCGAACAATTTGTAGGGGTCTTTATTGATTGAGCGAAGATTGCTAATTGCGTTTGGAAAGTGATAATGGATGTGTGGGGCCACTGGAAGGGCTGTGAATGAACTCAAGAAACCACCGATAGATGTCAGTAAGCATGCGTAAAAGGTCGCAAACCAAGTTGGCAGTAATGCTCCAAGGATTACATTGACAATTGCTGAACCTGGAATCGACCATGTTTGCTTCCATATGTAGATTATACCAATCACGCTGATAACGTGCACAAAATTGAGAGGTGATAACTTCATGTAAGCTCTCAAATCAAATGCTAACTTTCTGACATCGGTCAACTTCTGTGGTACATGTAGTTGCTTGACAGATCGCAGTGCCATAAAGGTAACAAAAGAACTGACGACAAAAATACCGGCTAACTTAGCGAGTGCAGGTAGACTATCTTTTATACTAGGCTTAATTGGATTAGGATCTGGTATCTGCGGGCTGGTCGGCGAGTTTGCTGAGGAGTGAATTGGTGACAATGGTATAGTTTCAATGTTAATTGAAGGCCTAACTTTGGATGTTTTGACACTAATGATAGGTGCCTCCAACGGTGGTGACAATTCTAAAGAGTGACTTCTATTCCTCGTATTAGATTTTGTTTGGTTGAGTTTAGATTGGGTTGAATTCGCTCTAGGACGACCATCTGAGTTTTTCGAAGTAGACGCTTCTTGCGGACTTTCCATAATTGGTGCTTGTTGCTGCTGCACGCTAAATTGTACATCGACATCTGGTGTAGCCACTCCATTGGAGATGGAACGGCCCCTACTTCGCGTGGAAGTGCGCTGTGGAGAGTAATTTGCGTGTAGACTATTATCTTTACTATTGTTGTTATCTGAGACGTTTAAGTACATCGCGTATGCATTTAATTTACGAGATCTTGGTGGTTTTTGGTCAAGTTCAATTTAGTCTTTACGGACGACGATCTTTGAAGGGTAAAATCAGGAGATGAATTTGGTATGAATAAATGGAATTAATGATAAAATATGATACTATTCTATACTCTTTTTACTCTTCATCAAAAATATCTCTGGGGGCCGTAAAACTTTGTTAAGTAAGCGCCGGTGTAAAGTCCCCGAGTAGATATATCATATCCGATTAGATATAATAATAAATTCTAATACAACATTTTTTATGTACGCTTCTACATTAATTCTTACCATAGCCAAGCATTTAGCTTTTTGGAGTTATTCCTTATTTCTTTATGTAATCTGTGGGATGACATTTAATCATGAATATTATAAATGTCTAGAGATGATAATTCACGGAATTCTCTATCGTTACATAATGTCATCTTAATTGACTGAATATCTCCATGCTGTGCTGTATATTCTTCTCGACAGTGAGATCTATGTAGCGTAGAATATATTATATGATGCTATTTTAGGACGTTATTAACGTCAATAATTATTTAATTCATTCTGGTGCCCTTCTATTATAACAGTCATGATTATCACAGCAGCAGTAGTCGTCACCGTACTATTGTTCGTCACTAATGTGCAAGGTGTGTAGGTAATTAGACAATAGATAATATCACTTAATATATTAGCGCACTTTCATGCGTCCCATCTCGCACCAGTCATAGCATTCTTCTCTGCAACTCAGAATGAAAGCACACGATTATCACACCCTCAGATACAACCACGTAGAGATTTAATTGCTGCTTTATTAGCTACATACCTCGCTTACTCCGGTTTAAAAAAGAGATCTTTATCTCTCTCCGGTGCAATTACTGCTTTCATAGTTGGATACGCCGGTTTATCAAGCACTATATGCTCATTTGGTGCTATGCTGATAGTCTTTTATCTCGCCGGCTCAAAAGCTACAAAGGTAAGTTCATTCTCCAGTTGATATCATTTTGATAAGAAATAAAGGTAAAACACTACATCAAATATCAACTTGAAGACGGACACGATAGTGAGAAACCCGGTGGCGTCAGAAATGCTGGGCAAGTGTTAGCTAATTCATACACTGGCGTTGTTTGCGCTATAGTTTTTAGAGTCCAACATATTATCACCACACCAAGCAGTATTACAAATACCCCTCAATGTATACTAAATGGGTCATATTATATTTCTTCCCAAACTCTATTGCTCTTCACGATCGGTCATTTCGCATGTTGTTGTGCTGATACGTTAGCATCAGAGGTGCGTTTGGTGTTGATAGTTTTAATCGCTTTAATAAGATCGACAGCTTGGAATCTTATCTGGTACTTACCCTCGATTGGTTACTAATCCATGGAAGATTGTGCCTCCTGGTACCAATGGAGGTGTTAGTGGTGAGTATGAATGTTAGATAGGTATTTCGAATATGCTAATTTGATATTAGCATACGGCACAGTCGTTTCAGCATTTGGTGGCTTTTTAATAGGTTTAACAGCAGTAATCTCACTAGCAATCGAAGACTCATCTTGCTTTGGTCTGAACTTTTCCTTTGGACAAGCGCTCCTCTCGAGTAAATCATTCAAGTTGATCATTTTATCAATTTTATCTGGACTCTTTGGTAGTTTACTTGATTCACTGATGGGTGCAACTCTTCAACGCACCTTGTTGCATAAAGAGAGAGGTAAAATCTTAACAGATGGATCAGATCCAAACTTTGAAAGAATGTATAATGAAGCTCAAAAAAGTAAATCAAAAGAAACACCTGAAGTAAAGCTAGTCTCTGGCTACAATATCCTTACCAATACCCAAGTTAACTTCTTTAGTACTTTCATCACATCCCTTTTGGCAGCTGTCGGCGGAAACTTAATATTGTAAACAAACATGGACTCTATTAGACATTTATTTTTTCTTTAAAGAACAAATAAGGAAGTACTGCTAGTATCTCAACTTTTTCAGATCAGATCATCAATCATTTTCTTAATCTGAGTAGTTTACTGTTATGTAATAAGTATTGTAAAATAATACCTTACTATTTAAAAATCCTTTTCTTTTAATCGCTTGAATGATTCGATAAATTATCACAAAAAGAATGTGAAAAACAATCGTGATCTTGATAATGTATGTCGAAAGTATCTTTTCACAAAACAAATGTTACTGTGGACGTTTCTAACGAGTTTTACTCTCTTAAGTTCAAAAATAGGTTTGTATATCATATTGTTCAACCATCATCGGGACTACATTATTAGAGAGCCACTTAAATCATATCCGAAATAAAATGGAACTTTTAGCCAGTGATTCCATTATCATTCAAGAATACATTACAAATTGATAGACCCAGCAAAAATGAAAAGACAAAAGATAATTCGGTTACCGGGAATCGAACCCGGGTCTCCAGAATGAGAATCTGGGAGGATAGCCCCTACCACATAACCGATGATGTACCAATTGTACCATTTAATTGTGTTTCTTCGCAATTTTGAAGTTTTGTGTATCCAACACATCCAAAATTTCCGTTTTTACACATTACCTGAAATTTTGTCAGTAGATGGACGATCATCATCGAAAATCGGCCGATTTGCCGGAGGGGCATAAAAACCCTCCCAGTGAATCCGCAAGCGCCGAATTCACAGGTGAGCACTTTTTAAACGATATATCGTTCGATTTCGGTGCTGCTGACGCGCGAGGAAATCTCGACGCGTCGCAACACGGGAGGAGACAGAGTCAAAGACTCAATACTAATTTAAATAAGAGACGCAGAACCGCTAATGAAAATTACGGAGCGCGTAGTTTTGATATACTTTCGTTAGCTGAGCATCTCACCGATGTGATGACGCAAACCGTCGGGAAGTTAAAAGGTGAGTTAGAAAGCACATTCAAAAAGTGCATACGTGAAGAGCAGGACAAACACGACAAATCTACTACAAGGAGATAGTCCCACAGATTCGAGCAGCAGTTACACG